ACAGCTCTTGCTACTTAAGAAATTTAAGGGTCCAGGGGTCAGTGAATTTTCACTGGTGGGCCTTCATCTTCAGCTTATAACGCTAAAAGCAGGTAGACACCTGCAAACAACCATCTGCTGTATATCGATCCTACTGAATCAAGCATGCATTAGAGACTGTTAAGTACCATCAATTAGTACCTTATCTATTAATCATTTACAGGCATCACATATAAGGTACTCATATCAGAGCTCAGGTCTGTTGATTCCCGAGGCCCGGCACAGTAACCAGCTATTTACTCTCTGTTTTTGACAATGCTTGTGTGTGAAAAGGGCACATTTGTTATTTCTGAAGGGGTTTTTTGACAGAGGCAGGAAGGAACAGAAGTTCTCCCTTTATTTTGGACGGGCCTTGGTTCATCATTTTTTTTCAGTATTCCTAATACTCTGCACATGCTCCCAGAAATTATGAAAATGCTTTTTAAGAAATAAATAATACATTAAGAGAGACATGCTATCAGGTTTGCTGCATAAATAATGCATGTTCATCACAGGCATAGTGCCATACAACAGATTGCATTTGCCTGCCTGTGAGGGATGTGGTTATGGCTGCCACCGTTTTGCCATGATAATAATACTTTGCTTTTCCATACCATGGGCCTCTTACTCTGAAGATGAAATAGCAGCCATGGCACACTGAGGGATGAAAGCTAGGAATTGTTTTCTCAGCCTGATGAAGGATGTTCTTCTATTTATTATTTATGTGGTGCAGCCACACGTAAGATTTTCAAGCATGCACCAGGACCCCTTTGTGCTGGGGGCTGTACAAACAGAACAAAAAACTTACATTCACTATGGGTTTTGTTAATGCCTAAACTATATGGATCTTGAGCCAGCATGAGTGTCTTGTGCAAACAAGACTCTTAATTCACCATCTCTTTGGCTGCCCTGTTCCCTTATGATTGTACCATCACCAAACTAACTAGGAGCTTGAGCGAAATGGCAGGCAATTCATACTCAGGAAAAGATAGGTCTTCGGAAAGAATGAGTGGTTTGAGCTATTGTGCTCGGGCAATATTTCTGAGGTTGAAACCAACCCTACCCAAGTCTTGAAAATTATGTCTGTTGGTGTGATGCACGCTCAGCTGACAGTCAGGTCTACCAGAGTCTTAAAAATGCACTCGGCGCTGCAGTGCGACAGCTTTTCAGTTAGCAAAAGCTGTAGAAGTTCTGGTAAGAAACAAGGCACGACTATTTTACAGCAAGGGCAGTTCACTATTATGACTTATCAAGGTAGGGTGAGAGTTTTCTTTCACTTTAAGTCTTTAAATCAAGGTGGGCTAAAATCATGTTCCTGTTCAGCTTGACAAAGCAATTACGATTGACAAAGTATCTGGCCTCCGTTACTCAGGAATCAAATTTGAGGATCCTGATAGTCTTTGCTGATCTTAAAATGTATGAACCAAGCATTAAGTGATGTGACTCTCATGGACAACCGCATCCTCATGTAATATTGACAGGACACATCCCGTTCTGGCAGAGCCAGTGCTCCCCAGGTGCATCCAGGCTGCGCTGCTGCCACTGCCAGAAGAGCGCATGCCCAACAACGCCCCCACTGCCTGCCACAAACCTAGAAGAGGATGATGAAGCCACACTGAAGTCTTCCCTTTGAAGCTGCTGGGAAAAGTGGGTTTGTGTGGGGAGTGGGCATCCCCAGTACAGTTTTCACTGAACTTCTGCATTTTGTAAGTGCAAGTAGTAGCAGGGCAGGGTGGGCAGGGCATGCTGTGAAGTTGATGCCCCCAAAAGTGCAGACGTGGCCTCTGGAGGTACAGTTAACTGGAAGAGGATGGATGAGGATGAAGATTGTTTCTGAGGTGGCCAGCCCTCTCCCATTGCTCCTCCGGGAATACAGTACATGCCGCAGGCAGGTGCATCACACAGCGGTGCTATCCTGGGGAGCAGCCTTCACTAGCTCCCCCAGGTACTCCAGGACCAACTCCCGGCAATGGCCTCTCTGTTTCTCCTCTTCCTGCCGACCTCTAAAACTCCACTCTCTGCCTTGTCTCAGCTTGCAGGCTAAGCAGAAAGGGGCAGGAGAATAATTTAGGTGCTGTTTTCCTCTGGGCTGAAAAGGGAGGGATCCCATTGGAAAAACTTGATATATTTTCCATTGCAGAAAGGTAGATTTGGAGCCTGTCCCGTATGAGAAGAGGAGGTGCCATGCTGGCCTTGGTATGCTAATGCCACTTAATTTGGGAACTCCTTTAGCTTTTTTCCAGTCACTATTTCAAAAACATAGCCAAGGACAGTGAAAAAATATGCACAGGAGGGCTAAAGTGCAGAAAGTTATATCAGCACTACCATGGAAATATCGCACGCACGTTGCACAATTCATTCTCCCCCCAGATACAATCTCTCTCTTTCTACTCTCCCTCTCCCCCATAGAGGCCCAAACTAAAGCTCTGCAGCTGAAAAAGCCACCAACTCCACTTCAGATCTAAACTCTGTAATCAGACACACAACCGCACATTACTCTTCCTATGTTTTCTAGGCTGTCTTTACCTGTAGCCTAAACCATCACTTGATGTATGATAGCTATGTGAAAATGAGTATTTACAGTGCCAGGGGTTGTTTTCCCAGGATGATTACTTTCTGCAAGGGAAGCCATTGTAAGGTCATTCCTAAAATGCCTAGAAAAATGCATTCATCCACAGGACTTCCTCCCTGCAGAATCCTTCCTAAGTTGTCCTGTGAGTTTGTAAAAGAAAGGTGAACCTCGGGGAAGAGCTACAAAAAGACTGGGGTGGTTTTAAAGTCTCCAAGAGATGGCAAGATGGCTATAACGACTGTCAGGTCACTGGAACTGCACAGCTGCCAGCAGGAGAGCCTGCCAAGGAGGGGTAGAGCAGGAAGGGCTCATCTTATGCTCTACTGGGTTTGTTCTTCTTTTTTTTGGTTTATTTGGAATATGCACCTGTAGAGCCGAGGCAAACAACAGAACTGCTCAGAAAGTTGTTTTCCCACCCACCCAATGAAAAACCTTAAAATAAAATGAACTCACTTTCTTAAAATGTTTACAGAGTTTTCCTGAAAAATAAGAAAACCCCAGAAAACCCATTGGGTTGCGGGGTTCTTGCTTTTAAACAAAATGAGCCATTTTTTATGGGAAAATTCTATTTGTCAGAAAGAAACCCCTGCTATTTTCTAATCAACACCTGCTTTGATACAAACCTTTGGCCACTTCTGTGCAGGCGGCGTCAGCGCTAATGCCCAGCCTGGTTATGGGTTACGTCTATAAAACGCCAGCTTCCCTTGAAAGCCAGTGTCCTTATCAGTAGTCAAACATGTAACTTCCCCTTTTTCACAGTCCCAGTGAAAAACAACTCACCATCCTCATTCATGTGCAAAACACTCACATATTGCATAGAAGAACCTCACACCCTCCCCCAGCTTTCCCCTTCCTGGGTCATTTCCTAATGTACAGGGCTACTGAATTAAATGCGATGGTGTTATTTTATACCAAAACTAATATCCCATGCACCTGGATGAATAGAAGGGGCTGTGATGGATTTCAGGGACCTTCTCTTAGCCGGCATAAAAAAATCTCCTTTTGGGCTGCAACCCAAAGTAATAAATGGAAGAATGCATGCGGGCAAAAGCCTCATAAATCCTTACAGCAACAGCAACTTCAACTCTCGTGCTACAGTCAGAAGAAAAATCACCCGACACCCCCAGTTGGCTGGTGTTTGCATGCCTGTTACAGTGGGTGAGGAAGCTTTCCCAAAGGAGAACTGTCATTTCTTTGTCAGCAGTTTGAATCAGGCCCAGATCAGGAGACACCGTTCAGTCTCACAATATTTGCATTCCCGTAGTGCATACAACAGGCGGAGCTCAAGGCTTGCCTGCATGTGGGGGTTAGTGCGCAGTTAGGCAGGGTGTGGGTTGACAGCATCTTAGCTACACCATGCTAGCCCTCCGTGGGGACGCACAGGTGGCGTCGAAGGGCTGTGCACACCTGAGAGATGGATGTGGTGTGAAAATGGTATATACTACCTTCCGCCTAGTGTTGCCTAAGGGTTTGTCTGTATGACATAAGGCAGTGCCATACCCTGAGCTAGCTCTGTGTGTCGGCTCTGGAACTGGAAGCAGTAAAGCTGTGTTAACCGGCTGCTGTGTTGTGCCAGGATTGATTAGCACATCGGTAGCTGAGGGATGCTCCGTGTGGCACTACCTTATGCCATACAGAAACACACTACAGGGGAATGGATAGTGCACGTGAATTCACACCCTAATTTACTGGGCACTAACTTTCCTGCAGGGCAGACAAGCCTCAAGAGTTCTTTGTGAATAATTAGGGTTTACCTTCATTCTTCACATGAAGGGACCAAAGCACAAAGAGAAACTAAGTCCCAGTCAGTATTTAATCCTGTGCATTAGCCACGAGGCCAATACACCTCTTGCTCCACCCTCCTCACCGTCTGAGCCAGTTCAGCTACCTCCAGTTCCCAAAGGAGAAAGTCCTGCATCACATGAACCTGCTTTGGCAATCCTACTAGAGAAGCCACTCCCCACGCACCCTCTGCAAGAGGCCAGGCCTCAGGCACAAAGAAAGGCAGTCTGGAAAATCACCCTGTTATTGCCACCTCTTATGGACACCGGCAGGACTTCGGTCTCGACAGCCACCGATCCCCGCTATTTTCACTAGCACTAAGTTTATGACCAGTATGAGACTAGTCATAAAATAGGATGGACCCCAAGACCTCTGGATCTCAAAGCAAGAGTCTACTCTTGGAGCCAATGGACCGCACTTCGTAGCATGGAGGCATCAACCATTTAATGAA